TCCCTCCCTCCGTCCCTCCCTCCGTCCCTCCGTCCATACCTTCTTGGTGTGTGGACTGTTATTACCACAGCGACAACAACAAAGAAGTCCATCCAAATAAGTTTGTACATCTCAGCTGCGATAGCATTCTCCCAACACTGTATCGAACAAACCATAATTATAAAAGAAACTTTGTTAGAAACCTGTTGGAATCGCAATACTAGTCTATATTTAGCGATAGAGCAGGCTAACAAGCCAAAGGCTTGTGTATAAGTTTGCGTCGACATTAGATCAAATTCATAAAATTAAGAAGTTGATAATCGGAGATGGTAGGGAGGAATACCGGAGAACCGTGGAGAATAGAAAACCCTCGAAGCACACTGGAGAGGACTAAGATGCAATCCTAGCATTAGATGGTATAGTATCCCATGCTACTCTTGCTATTCTATGTATATAATATAAGTCAATAGCGTTAAAAGCAACAACTTACCAGCATACAATATGTYTGTATTTTTTGGAACAACGAAACCATCAAGACAGCGACTGATGCCAGTTTGAGGAGTATTGTTCTGTAAAAACATAGAAACAAGAATGTTAGATATTTGTTATAAAAGATAGAACATAATGATTAACAATAACTTAAAACCCTGAGACAACCTCTGGACTGATCTAAGTCAGGACACGGCTAATTCACAGATCAAACCCTGAAACAACCTCTGGGCTGGACTAAGTCAGGGCACGGCTAACTCACAGATTGAACCCTGAACAAAACCTCTGGGCTGATCTAAGTCAGGGCATGGCTAACTCACAGATTGAACCCTGAAACAACCTCTGGGCTGATCTAAGTCAGGGCACGGATAGCTCACAGATTGAACCCTGAAACAACTTTATGCTTTCCAAGCTAGACTGTTCGTACCTTGCTAAATCAATATTAACTCTCACTCGTGGGTTCCAATCCTCCAGTCGAGACAGGAAGTAGAACAGGTTTGGTAGGACGGAATTGATGAGGGTGAGCGTGATGGGTAAAGTGTAGCTCTTCAAGAGAGAAATCATTTCGATCTTGCTTGATTCTTTAGCGTTGGGGTTCGTCGCTTGAGCCGTCTTGAAAAGATTGAGAATGAAAATGTCAAGATGTTAATGTATGAGATTTACATATGTAATCATGTACGCATGCGCAATGGTGATAGTGTTGGCCATGCGGTGGACGGGCATTTTGTTTGAGTAAAGATAACTCTCTTGTGTTAACTAAGATGTCATTTTTTCGTTCTCAAACACGGGTAGGACTGGTTGGCAGCTCAACAAGCTGATTATATATCCCTTGTACTAATTCCCAATTTGGGATCAAAACAAAAGAATTCCTTTCTCTTGAAGATTCAAATCTTTTTTCATGTTTCAGCACGTAACAGCGCCTGAAACATACGATTTACTTTTTACCTTTAGAGAGAGCTGAGCTGCTTTATAAATAGCCCATCCAGAACCAATAGACAGTAAAATCACTATGGTGTTGATTGTGATTCGTATCAAGTAGATCTTGATCCTTTCATTGCGGGTTCTTTTTGCCAGGTTTGTGAGCCGTAGATCTTCTGCTAAATCACCCTGTCGGTCATCAAAACACGAATAAGATTTCAGACAATTACGAGTGGTTAGACGGCATATGGTTTAAAGGATACACATGATTGTCAGAAGAAGAATATTGTGGACGCAAGATACTCCATTCCATGAAGAATTTTATCAACCTGCACGTGGATATTTAATTAGCAAAATCTTACAAAAGCCGTTCCACATTCACCTTCCAACATGGCGGACATTGATCACGTGACTTACATTTTTATATATTTTTTCATTAGACCCTTACACAAGAACTTACTTTGGAGTCAGTAGTCCGCATTAGAGAAGAGTTTCCTTATAAAAAACTGAACAAATATTTTTTTTWAAATACATATTATTTTATTGGACAATTTGTGAGGAATTAACAGGAAAGTAGGAGCAGACAAAATGGGATGCATAAAGCATTGAATGTCACACGTAAATATGGGCCACCCATTATAGGCATGTATTTTGTTATTTTCCTTCTAAGGAAGCGATTTTTTTACCTCCAGCTCATTGACAAAGCTCTTCGTCTTAAGAATGGCTGCTTCCTCATCGCTGATACACATGTCCCATCCACCGAACACTTTGTTGCAGTAGCTGTTGTAATGTTTGACTCCCTCTTTGACGTAACTATCCTCGATGATGCTTGATGCGCTAGAAACAGCAATAGACCTCTTAAGCTTGGGTGCAGCTTGATGTTTTCCCATTTCAGACTACGTGTCGTTCATTTTCTTGAGAATAGGATTCTTCAATTATTCAACTTACCTCCAAAGTGTTAATAAAAGAACTAAAAGAAAGCTGAGAGAACTGACGGTAAAATAGGCCAGCGGCATGTTGTAGAAGGAACCAGTGGGCATGACAAGAATACGAGATGAGAAGCTACCGTAGTACATTAAGGTGGTGTTTATCCATCCCTAGATATAACCCAGAATATTGTATTAATAAAGATAAGGGTGATGTTACAAGAGTATGAGGCTAGTAGCTACCGTAGTATATCAACGTGGTGTTTATCCATCCCTAGATATAACCCAGAATATTGTATTAATAAAGATAAGGGTGATGTTACAAGAGTACGAGGCTAGCAGCTACCGTAGAGACTACTACTTACCACTCCCTGCATAAAATCGCTCACTAAGTGCCCCACATGATGGTTGCCATAGTTACCACTGGGTTTCTTCATGTGACATTCCTTTTTCCATGCAAACGCACTCGTATTGGCACCAAGGAAACTAGAAAGTTTCCATTCATCCAGTTGTGCCTCTGTTTCCACGGTAGCAGGTGTGGGTGTACGGGACTCATTTAACGAGGTGTTGGTTAGCGGAGCAGTGACTAGGAATGCAGGTCTCTCCCTCTTATGCACGGCTTGTGGGATAACGATGAAGGCTAACGACAGGATGAAAATGAAGATATTGATGTTGAGAAGCCATTTGAGGAAGGTAAAGTAGGAGAGAATGCCATTGCCAAAAGATCCTGAAAACATGAACAAATATTAATTAGTTATTGCGCAATTCAAAAAGATCATTGTATCATTATGTAAGTTATAGGTCTGGCAAAGGGTCCAAACTAGACCCTACATTTGATCCAACATCTGCTTGTCATGGTCTGCAAACAATGTTGGGATGTTCTTTTTTATGTCGGGCGAATGTTGGCCTCGTTTGTAATGGCAATACAATACAATACAATAAACTTTATTTAAAGAGGGTTACACATAACAGTACATTAAACTGATAACCTAGTGGCCCTCACAATCTAAAATCTAAATCTAATTACAATATTCTAATGTATATACTATAATTAAAATATAATAAATTGAAAGAAAGAAAGAATGAGCCTATAAAGATATAAAAAATCTAAAATTATTAATTGTTAAATCAAGGCCCAATTTGTGCGCCGAGAACCCACATGCACCTACCGTCTGGCGCAAGACAAAACGGATGAAGGAGATTGCGCCGAAACGGGAGATAGAACATGGGACCCGGCGATCAAACTG